GTTCCTCACCTCCACAAAGGGATAAAATGAAGTCTGTCCCATGCTGGCCCAGTACTGACCAGTCTCAAAGTTCAGCTTGTACACACCAGGTTTAAACTGCTGCTGTGTGATTAGCCCCGGACATCGACCATCACTGTTAGTGCACCTGTTGAAAAAGTCTCTTTTAAGCTGTATGAATAGAAAGAGTCATCAGCTTGACTTCTGACGTAACAGTAAATACTGAAGCATGGAAAGAGTTTTACCCAGTGGTAACCAGATGCCAGCCATTGGTGGAGGGGTCTTGTCTATAAAGTCTGAGGGTCATGTTTGATCCTGGAACACCAAGTGCCGTGTTCAGCACATGGGTGGTTAGAGGGCTAGGTGAGCCTGACATGGCTGCAGTCTGAAACAGAAAATAATTCGTATTATTTATTTACTTTTATTCACATAAACCATGCTCAGATGAAAAAAATGATCCATTATTTAAGTGCTTAATCTCATTAAATTATCTTTTGCTCAAAAGGCATACAATCCAGCCATACCTTAAATCCAAATTGTAACAATTAAAATGCCAAAGAGACATGTTGGTAAAACCAAACTTTTATCTTTGCACAATTAAAGTCTCCAGACTTAGTGCTGGTTTCTTCTCTATTAAACAGAAATAGCAAATATTCTGCAGGGTTCTGAAATCTCAAACACTGCAAATGATCTAAATGAAACAGTTCAGATTCAAATAAATATCTTTAGAACATCACAGGATCTGTGGTCATCCTCAACTTTACAGAAACATTGATCCATTCCAAGTTTCTGTAACTTTAGTTGCTGGTTGCAACTAAAAATAACCTGAGACATAATTCTAAAGCTTTAAATACGGTAAATAGATTTTAAATAGATACTTACTTCAAAGTTTGGTTTTTGATGCAAAGTTGTTTGCTGTTTAATTTTTAACATTATCTAGCATTCAAAATACTGTTTTTTTAATAACATAAAAGCAGAGATGATAAAAGTATTAATGTTTATTACTCAAGTTGAATTATAAATCCTACTCCTTATTAACACTGTAGAAGTTAGAGTATCAACTTAAGCTTTTTACTCAAGTAAAAGTGTAAAGGTACCATTTTTAAAACTACTTAAAGTATAAAAGTAAAAGTTATACAGGACAGATGTGTTAAACTTTATACTAGTTATTTACTACCCTATTAAAGAAAAAAAATTATAAAATTCAGTAATTTCCTTTTTTTAATTTTTCTTAGATTTATAACTAATGGTAACGGTGTCAAATTTAACTTTGCATCATCTGAAAAACAATCCATTTAGGCATGTGGGGAGCAACAAGTTGATGCTCTACATCAAATAAATTGTCTGGATGAAACAATTGATTCTAATGGTTTTTATTTCGTTTTAATACCAACAGGTCATAGCGACAATAAGCTTAAATGAAACAAACGGGTCTATTTTTAAAGTGTAAGGAGTAGAAAGTAAAGATAATTGTAAAAAAAAAAAATAAGGAATACAAGCAAAAAGTTATCTAAAAAATAATTACTCCATTAAAGCATAGATGGCCAAAATTTCTACTAAAGTAAGATAACAAAGTATTTGTTCGTTATTTGTCACTATAAAAGATTATACATACATTGAGTCAAGTATTAAGTATTATTGAAAGCTTTCTACTTACCTTTCCTCCAGAGAGAATGTGACTATTCAGTTGCTGCAGCCTGAAAGCGCTCATGTTCACTTATTAATAACATCTTATGCAGGTCAATAGCTTTAAGCGCAACTTTTTATTTGATTTGATAGTTTGAAGAAAAGTTTTACTCACGTCACACATATAAAGTCCCGTTCACTGCCCCACTCAGTTCAGCTTTCAGTACACAGGAACTTATCCTTCTGTCAACAGTAGGCCTGTTGTGTAAGAGTTTCCTTTGGCCACACTGTCATTCAGCTCTTTGAACTCATGGGAGGGATGGGAGAGCGCAGCCAGTTGTTATCAACAGAAGGCTATACTGACTCCGATGACACCAGTTTGTTTTAAGCTTTGTACTAATTTCAACTTTTGAAGTATTGTCAAAAAACAAGCTTTTTAAACTACCTAATAATTGTAATGCAATGAGAGCAATCTAGTCTGTTTCTATTTGTGCCTCTAGGATGAATGGTTGAAGGTTGGATGATAATGTTTTCTTGACATTAATGGAAAAACATTCATCTAATAATCGCTAATCCGAAAGGACAGATCAATGTCCAGAAATCACAAACTGCTTGTCCATCTAGTTTTAGGCAGCAAGGTGGTTTTTTTTTTCTTTGCCTGGGGAAATCCTCTACTCTACTACTGTCCCATAACAAACTACAGTACTGGGTGGGATCTACCTGTTGGAACAGACTGCAGCCCCCTTACAACAATACTCCACACACAGCAAAGGACGGAACAGTTTTACTTGCATTTAAAAGCTCAAATAGTGTATCATCATATTCTAACATGTGAAATCTGCAGATATAACTTTAAAAATATGTCACACACTTGAAAGGACACTTTAATGGAGAACATTTAGATTCCTTTCTCCCATATAGTACTGTAGGACTTGGCACCTATGAACACATTTCTTTTTCTTTATTAAAAAAGTTACATAAAGCAATTACCATAAAAACCTATCTATAAAAAAAAAAAAAAAACGCTTTTCCAGCATATTCAAGCTGTATATTTTCCCAATGTGTATAATTTAATTGATGATATTCAAAGAGTATTATAAGCATTCAGTTGGTGGAGGACCAACTTCATTATATCAGCTGCTATATGGATCAGTCCTTTTCATTCTCCCTGATTTATCTCAGAGATGCTCGTCTCTTAAAGAGACAGCTGCTAGAGAAAGAGCTGCAGCTGCGCTTGCTGCTGTTTCCAGTGTTTCTTGAAATAAACCAGCTTGATCAAAGCTTTAAAAATGCAACTAAAAAATGCTTCTGAGATGTTTGGTGCCACAATACCTTTTTACTCCTTTCATCTTTTTTTTTTTTCATAAAATCACCATAGAATGTAATAAATATATGTACACTCAATAAAAAAAAAAACTTTTATTCCAGGCACTAGAGGGAATTTCTCCCTTTTGTATTAACAAAAGCAGATTAATAATGTAGGAAATCAAAAGATAAAGACAATCAAATATTTGTCTTTTAAAAAGTATCATAAAAGAGGTGATAAATTAAGGTATAATTTAAACTGAACACAATACAGCATAAAGTATTACAGTGTTAGAGATTTGGGCTTTCAGACATTGTAACTGCCAAATATGTAGATAAGATAAATAATAACATTTTATTTAGACATCTGAGGCAGAAAAAAACAGTTTGATCAAAAAAAAGATGAACAGCAACAACTGATCAATCTTCAGAATAACTAATAAAATAATAACAACAACCGTCTCCTTTCCTTACATATTTCTTAGTTGTAAAAATGTTTCTACCTACTGTAAAAATGTAACTTTATTTTCATCTTAAGGTTTTGTGTATCAGGGCATAACAACAACATTCTGACATCTTTATTGCGACACAACATAAAAATAACTTGACAATGTGTTATTTCTGCAAGTAAAGTCCTCCCATGGGTTAGGATTTAAAAGTAGCACCTAGATGCATCACTGTGTGAGACCACCACTTTAAAACAGGAGCATATTAGTTATTGTAAAAACAATTATTCAGTTAAAATCATTTCAGAGATCTTCCCAGGGACAGACTTCCCAGCAAACGTTGTCCTAGGTTTGACTGCCAAATGATCTAAAAATGACAGAAAAAATAAAAAAACAACCCTCACAAAAAAAAACTGTTTAGTTTATCATATGCTAAAGTATATGATAGCTTAATGTAAAAAACAAACAAAAAAAAAACTACAAACTACACAAACTACAAAAAACTACAAACTACACTGTTTGCTAGGAGAAATAATTTTCATAAAAATATGACAGAAAAACTATGATTTTACCAAGCTGCACCCCAGTGAGCCACAGCACAGAAATATTGGTCAAATGAGACCAAAGGTGAAATGTTTGAACATAGTGAACATCAATATTTGATAAAAGTCAAACAAAGTACATCAGCATGAACGCCTTTTACATACTGACATGTACAGCATTAGAGATGTAATATATTGGATTTGTTGTGCAGCAGAAGTTCTTGAGCACAAAGCAGTCACTCAAGGTATAGTGGAGGACAGAGATGGCAAAAGTACTCACTTTC